AGGAGACCCTAGACCATTTCTGACAAATGGCAGTCCAATTTCTTCTTGAAAGCCTCCAGGGATGAAACTCCTACAACTTCCGAAGGCAACTTCTGTTCCATGGGTTGATTGTTCCTCCTTATTTCCACGTTGAATCTCTCCTTGTTCAGTTTCCATTCCTTTTCTGGCCTTCGGGTGCTTTTGAAAATAGATTGACCCCTTTCTCTCTGTGGCAGCCCCTCAAATATCGGAAGACTGCTATCCTGTCTCCCCTGGTCCTTCTCTTCACTAGACTAGCCAGGCCCAGTTCCTGCAACCGTTCTTCGTATGTTTTAGTTTCCAGTCCCCTAAATATCCTGGTTGTTCTTCTCTGCACTTTTTTATAATGTGGTTGTTCACATTTTATAATGTGGTTGTTCTTCTCAACATCTTTTTTATAATGTGGTGACCAAAACTGGATGCAGGACTCTAGGTGTGGTCTTACTAAGGCTTTATAGAGTGGTATTAGTACCTCACTTGATCTCGATTGTATCCCTCTGTCAATGCAATTTAGGATTGCATTAGCTTTTTTGGCTGCTGCCGTAGTCCTTTTTTTTTTTGTTTATCCCAGAACCACTTACTCTAAGGGAAGGTGCTTTTTCCCTTCTGGCTTGCCAGAGAAAGGCCAGGTGAGGCTAAAAGAATTTGCACCCAGCTAATATTAAAATTCAAGAAAAGCCTGAAAAATCAGGTTGTTCTCTGGAGTCCTCCTGAAGGAAACAATAATAGCCCTTGGTTTCTTCTTAGCTGCTTGTCTTGCAATCTGCCAGAAGCACAACCAGTTACAACTTGTGATCTGTCCCTGCCTTTCACTTGAATACAAATCTCAAAAAAAAAGGGCTTTCTAAAAGAACATTTATTCTTGGCTTCTATCAGGGATTTTGTTGCTGAATTAAATTCAAAATGAAAAATGAAAACAGCTTCAAAATGGGGGAAGAGCATCAATTAGAAGTAGAGGTAGTCGTTGAGTTACGACGACAATAACTGAGCCCAAAATTCATGGGGCTAAGCAAGATAGTTATTGTGAAGTTTGCCTTCATTTTAACGTCCTTTCTTGCCACTGTTGTTAAGTGGATCACTGCAGTTGTTAATGTCAGCTTGTAAAACATTCCTATGCCTGTGTCATGCCCTTCTTGGAGTCTGATTCTGAGGGGGAGATTGAGCAGCTGACAGGGAGTGGGGGTGTGGCTCCGGTGGCTGTGGAAGAAACGGGAAGGGCATAGTCTGGCTGGGCATTCGGAGGAAAATCCAGGGCCATCCCTTCTTCATCCTAAGGCACGCAGGGAGGAATGGAGAAGGGAGCAACATGGCTTACGGGAGAGGAAAGGGCCCTGATCCCCTTCATGGGCTGCAGCTGGAAGACTGTTTAAAAGGGGAAACTACGCATAGCAAAGTTGCTGGAAGCAAAGCATGCATTATCTTTGTCAAGGCTTATCTGGATTTTGGCGTCCTCCCAACTGTGGGTACTGTGTTTGTTAGGTATAACATTGATACCCAACAAGGTTTGGGTGGATAAATATATAAACTAAGGTATCATAGTTTAAGTATTTGTAACTTTAAGCACCACACTGCATGTAATTAGCCAATTAAGGGTGCGGTTAGAAACTGCAATAAGAGGAAGCAGGAGAAAGCTTGCTGCTTACTGCTGCCTATTGCCTACTGCCTACTGTTTTACTGTTTACCGTTTGCTGTTTACTGCTGGATACAACTGTTTACTACTGTTTTACTGCGACTGTCTACTGTTTGATCATTCTACTGAATATCCAGCGTTATCCTCTGGAGAAAGGCATCGGAGGAGGAGAAGATATCTTTATCGGCTGATAAAGATATAGTAAGGACTATTATCTGGACTGAGTTAGTGAGTCTTACTGAATGGATATATTGTGAATGACATACGGACTGATTGACAATGCTTAAACTCTAACTGGATTAAAAAAACTATTTAAACTACAAACAGTGTTTGTGTTCAGTGTGTGTATACTCTAAAACCCTTCCTCTCTCATTTGGCTGCCTGGCTTGACTGCTGCTGCATACTCTGCTAGGGGTTTATCCCCAAAACACTAACAGTGTTATCTTTTGGAAGTCTGCAATTTATCATTCTGGCCTGTCGTGTTAATTACTTCAGTGTGGTTTGTGTTGGTTTTTTTATTTCTAATTAAGTTTACTTTGGGTTCGGACTGCATTTCTTCCCCTTGTAGACTATTTTTTGGAAGAGTTTAATCTCCAGCCAAGGATAACTGGACATTGGGGGCCAAGTTGTAGGCATTAAGGGGAATTTATCTACTACTTTGGTGACTTTGTTATTTTTGTGCCACGCCCCGCATCATCACAGCCTGTTTCCAAGTTGCCATGAGAAAGAGGGAGGGGGGAAAGATGGCAAATAAAATCAGAAGCCCATTCCAAGCTGATCTTACAAAGATTGTAACTTAGGCAACCGGGTATTCTGCCCACGAAAATCCTTTATTGGAGAATGTGAGTGATGACACCCAGCCCATGAATGTGTTTCTGTTGTGGTTCGCCAGCAGCGTGTGCGGATGGCTGAGGTCTCGGAGAGTGAGGACTCAGATGAGGGGCCTGCATGTGATGCAGGAATAGGGCCAGGACCATCAGGGAGTGGGACGCGGCCTTTGGAGATTGTGGAGGCTGGCAGCAGTGATGAAGAGGCCCCTGAGGAGCCCCTCTCTGAGAAGATAAAAGCCAGCTGAGAAACTGCAGCTCTTTGCAGAAGGCAAAGGAGTTTGATACTCGAGCCTGGTGGATGTTAGAATATCTGAGTTGAGACTCTTTGATTTATTGTTTAGGAACTTTATCTGTTGTTCTTGGCAGACTTGCAAAAACTTGGCAAGGCTCTTCCTTATCTGAGCTAATTAGTTGGAAGCAGCCTTTTATCTATGAAGAAACAGGATTCGTAAATGAAACCGTAAAAGGTTGTGCTGGTATCTTTGTCTTGTGTTTACTCTCGTGGAACCAGGTTTGGGTCAGAACCATTTCATGGGAGAGGCTGATACATCCAGGGGGGGTGGGGGAAGAAGACAGGGTCCTAGTGTCTCAGAGTCGGCTTCATACAGGTCATGCTGGCCTGTTGCTCCTACTAAGTCTTTTGAAGTTTTTTTGAAGTTTGGCTCGAGGCTTATGATTTAATTAGGGCGATCGCCTGAATCCTGACAGTTAAATTAGTAACACTGATGTTAAGTGAATCTGGATTCCCCATCAACTTTGCTGGTCAGAAGGTCGCAAAAGGGGATCCCATGACCGGAGACACTGCAACCGTCATAAATAGGAGTCAGTTGCCAAGCATCTGAATTTTGATCACGTGTCCCAATATTTCTGTTGGGTATCATACCAGGAAAATATAATAAAGGGACTATGTCTTTAATACTGCATGTGTTAACTAGAATTATATTTGCACAACATTGGAAGAGCGTGGAGATCCCTAGAGAAGAGAAAAATAAAAATAAAACCAGAATGTGCAGAAATGGATAGACTAATGCTCGGAATTAAAGAGAAGGAAGACACTGAATATTTTGAAATATGGGATTCGTTTGGCTAACTAATAGAAACAGAACTTTTAAGGATTCATTTTACTATGATGGCTTATTACTATATCTTTGCTATTAATATTAATTAGCAATAATTAATAAGTATTAATATTATGATGAGAAAGCACTGTTATATGATTACTACTAACGAATATTTATTTATTTATTTGATTTGCCAATTGTTTACAAGATAATAAGTATAAGCGTATACATAGTTGTGAATACATGAAATGGGTACATATAAGAAAAATAAAAGAATAAGAGAAACAATAGGACAGGGACGGTAGGCACGTTGGTGCGCTTATGCACGCCCCCTACAGACCTCTTAGGAAGGGGGTGAGGTCAATAGTAGACAGTCTAAGGTTAAAGTTTTTGGGGTTTGGGGAAGAGACTACAGAGTCGGGTAGAGTATTCCAGACGACCACTCTGTTGCTGAAGTCGTATTTCCTGCAATCAAGTTTGGTGCGGTTTACTTTGAGTTTGTATCTATTGTGTGCTCTTGTGTTGTTATGGTTGAAGCTGAAGTATTCATTGACAGGTAGGACATTGCAATGATGATGATGATGATGATTGCTCAAGCTAATTGTAACCAGACAACACACTGTTTATATAGGCATTGAAATAGTTGCTCTTTCTACCTATAGTAAAAATAATAAAAAATAAATAGGAGCCACTTCCGAAGCTTCTGTATTTTGGTCCTGTGACCACAGGGATGCTGCAACGGTTGTAACTGTGAGAAACTGTAAGTCCCTTTTTTCAGTGCCATTGTAACTTTGAACGGTCCCTAAATGAACTGCTGTAACTCGAGGACTGTCTGTAATTTAATTACAGTGGGATGGATCTGTTCGTGTAAAAATGCCTTTCCTTTAGCACCCGGGTCAAATCCAGTATGGGCTCATATGTGGAGCTGCGACTCAGTTTCCATTGGTGGAGCAGGAGCCAATCCCCCTTCCTGCTTCCCTTCTAGCTCCGCCTTTGCCAGCTGCCGTGGGGGGCTCTTCACGTTCATCATCTCCCGGATGGTCATCCGGACTCGCAACTTACTCTTCTCTTCTCTGGTGCGGCAAGACCTGGCCTTCTTCCAGGAGGTGAAAACAGGTGAGGCCCCAAACAGGCAGGTCCCAAAGATTCTCTCAGGTGAGGCTTGTCTTTGATGACTATGCAGATCATTCATTTAATATTTTGGGGGAAAAGATGGAAGTGCTTTTACCAGTGCCACTTTCTGTTCCTTCCCTATCTCTCCCTCTCATTCTCTCCCTCCCTCCCTTTCTCCCTCCCTCTCTCCCTATTCTCTCTCCCACTCCCTCTCATTCTCCCTCCCTCCCCCACTTTCCCTTCCCTTCTTTCCCTCCCTCCCTCTCCACCCTCTCTCTCCTCTCTCATTCTCTCTCTCACACATACAGACCCTTGGGATTTCCTGGTGGCCTCCCATCCATGTATCAGTCAGCTTTTTGAGCAGAACTAACGCCATAGCTGGGCTTTGCTTTGGGATGAGCGCTGCTCCTGAGGAGAACATGGTCACAACCGTGGGTTTTTGGGTTTTTTTGGGTTCTTTGCCGGCCATAGAGAAGTAGTATCCATCTTTTTTCCCTATCTTTTCAGTCCAGTCTGCAATTCTGAGTTCTCCTGGTACTTAGATGTTTGCCATCTAAGTTCTCACCAGCTTTTTCATGATGGCCAGAAATTGGCTGGAGAGAATCTTTACCGACCCAAGAGAAGAAAGTCCTTGGTTGATTTTAGAGAACGAAGCTCAGGTGTTCCTTGGATAGGAGGCTACCCCAAAATCCTAGGGGAAGTAGCTTGGACTTAGGTGGGAATGGTAACTCATTACAAAGAGCCATCAGAATAGAGCTGGAAGGGACCTGGGAGGTCTTCTAGTCCAACCCCCTACTCAAGCAGGAGACCCTATACCATTTCAGATAGGTGATTGTCAAGTCTTTTCTTAAAAACCTCCAGTGATGAAGCACCTACAAATTGTCCTTGCTGTAAGAATATAGCTACTCTTTGGCCCTCTCCTTCCTGGTGGGATTGTTCCCTAGAATCTCCCTTCCTGTGTGGCCAGTCTGGCATTTGTTGAACAATATATCTCTTTGCTCACAGGGGCGCTGGCCTCCCGCCTTTCCAAAGACACAACTATGATGAGCCGCTCGGTGCCGCTCAACACCAACGTCTTCCTGCGCACCCTGATCAAGACCCTTGGGCTCTACGGATTCATGATCGGCCTGTCCTGGCGCCTGACGCTGCTGATGCTGATCGAGACCCCACTCATGATGGCCGTCCAGAAGGTCTATGATGTCCGTCATCAGGTAGGGATCATAGAGGCAGACGGTGGCCTAGAGGGAATGGCGGACACTTCTGGGTTTCTGAGACCAATTGCATGGGGGGAAGGAGCCACAGCTTGGGTGAGGGAGGGAATGGGCTGGCTGAGGGAAAGGAAAAACAAGCCAGAGAGCAGAAGAAAAAAGAGACTTCAAGGGAGCTGAGCAGCGCAGAACACGGTGGCATCTCCAGAGGGCCAGAAAAGGCAAGATGGCAGCCATGGGATCAAAACCCACTCCATTGTCGGTGTGGCTTGTACAACAGGATGAGTTGTTGGTTGTGTAGCCTGGTTTCACCTATTCCTGGGCTGAAAGAAAAGGGATTGTGTGTGTGCATCCCTATCCCTGTCCTCAGAGAAGAGAGTAGAAAAGGAGGATGAGGGCACTCCATGCTGTTAGCTACAAGGAGAGGCAGAGAAGTAGCTGGAAAAAAGGATGAAGAAGCCAGTTTGAAGGCAAAAATAAATAAAAATTAGGGAGAAAGCAGATGGGCATCCTACAACTTGTCCTCAAGTTATGATCACAATTGAGACCAGAATTGGTCACTGAGTGAAGCGGTTATTAAGCAAGATGTCTACACAATTGTTTTGCCCAATGGCTGCCATCTTGGAACTCCCGATTGCAATCTCCCAGGTCGTTATAAGATGGAGCAAAAGAGCTGCCTGCTGGTAGCTGAAATCTGTGCAAATATCTGTGCAGAACTGAAATCCTCTCGGCAGGCAGCACTTTTGCTTTCAAACGTTCCAATATCCTCCTGAAGGATTTCAGCTCCCCTCTGTGCATGGAGGGGAAATTCCCAGTGAGCTGTGGGAAGGAAGTGCGGTATAATAGCGGGAGAGTACATCTCCCTCTTTAGCTTGTACTCTGGCATCCGGTTGGTCACATGCGAGACATAAATGAAATAAAATGGGATGGAGTGGCATGAAGAATTTTTGGGGTCTCCTCTTAAGAACGAGGCCACTGGACTTTGGTTTGGGTATGCCACCACCAGCAGGATGCCTGGTCCAAGGCAGTTTTTAGGAAGCTGACTTTGCCGCTTCCTTCATGATCCATCAAGGCTTTACTGAAGGCGATCCAGGACTCGGTGGCCCATTCAGAAGAGGTGGTACATGAGGTTATTTCATCCATGGAGACCGTACACAGCTTTGCCACTGAGGAGAAGGAGTCACAGCGCTACGAGTCATCCTTAGAGGACACCTGTCGGCTGAAGAACCAAAGAGACTTGGAAAGGATTGTTTACCTACTTGTTGTCCGGGTAAGTCCACTAGGATTTGGGTCTCCAACCTTGGCAATTGCGTTCTCTTCGCTGATGATGTAAAGCTGTTCAATACCACAGACAATACTACTACCCTTCGAAAAGATCTAGACTATGTATCTGAATGGTCTAACATATGGCAACTCCAAATCTCAACAAATAAATGCTCTGTCTTACATATTGGTAAAAAAAATCAGAAAATAAAATACAAGCTGAATAGTCAAGATCTTGTTGATGACCCAAGCTCTGTAAAGGACCTGGGAATACTCACCTCTAATGATCTAAGTGCTAGAGCTCACTGCAACTACATAGCCAAAAAGGCATTAAGAGTTGTTAACCTAATCCTACGTTGCTTTTTCTCTGGTAATATCTCACTACTAACCAGAGCATACAAAACATTTGCTAGACCAATACTCGAATACAGTTCATCAGTCTGGAATCCTTATCACGTATGTGATATTAACACAATTGAGAAAGTCCAGAAGTATTTCACAAGAAGAGTTCTCCACTCTTCTACCCGTTATAGAATACCTTACGCCACCAGACTCGAAATTCTAAAACTAGAAAACCTCGAATTACGCCGTCTTCGGTCCGACTTAAGCATGGTATATAAAATCATACATTACAATGTCCTACCTGTCAATGAATACTTCAGCTTTAACCATAACAACACAAGAGCACACAACAGATACAAACTCAAAGTAAACCGCACCAAACTTGATTGCAGGAAATACGACTTCAGCAATAGAGTGGTCAATGTCTGGAATACTCTACCCGACTCTGTAGTCTCTTCCCCAAACCCCAAAAACTTTAACCTTAGACTGTCTACTATTGACCTCACCCCTTTCCTAAGAGGTCTGTAGGGGGCGTGCATAAGCGCACCAACGTGCCTACCGTCCCTGTCCTATTGTTTCTCTTATTCTTTTATTTTTCTTATATGTACCCATTTCATATATTCACAACTATGTATACACTTGTACTTATTATCTTGTAAACAATTGACAAATCAAATAAATAAATAAATAAATAAACTTTAAGGCTTGTGGACTTTAACTCCCAGAATTTCTAAGCTAGCCATCCTGGCTGAGGAATTCTGGGAGTTGCAGTCCACAAGTCTTAAAGTTGCCAAGGTTGGAGACTCCTGAATAAAGTCCTCTACGTGAGAGATTCCCAACTTGTGGGGGTTCCTGTGAGAGGTGTCGAAATAAAAACAAAATAGTTTCAAAATATGGCCCGTGCTTTTAGGAGATTGCCAAGTCTTTCTTACTTTGCTTGAAAAGTTTTAAAAATTTATGTCTTTGTCCCCAGTCTTGCAAGATTTTATGTACTCTGTATCATAGCAATCCTTAGCATTGACTTGCCGATCAAGAATGTTTTTCAATTAAAATCCTCTTAACTGCCAAAGGTCAAACAGCAAGTGGATATGCAATCCAGTGAAATCCCAGTTTAAGATGACTATCTCGGATTTTTTTTCTGTTGGAAGAAATATCCTTCTGGGTTCAGTTCCAAGTGGGGAAGAAAGACACTGGAAACATGGTGACTACTTGGAAAGATGGTTTAATGGTGGACAGGTTCACATGCCTTGGGTGAAGAATGAAGGAAGGCAAGAAGGAGGGCTGATATGCCGAGAGTGCCTGGTTTTATACCCTCTGTTGGGATTTGAATTTGAGCTTGTATTCTGATTGGCTGTCAGACTCCCATGGGGCCATGCAGGGGCAACTTTATAGGCTGTCCTGAGTCCCAGGCTTGGTTGAGCCTTGCTGGATGATGATGTAATGAAAGGACTTTGGGCAATTCCTATTATAACTCTCCCTGGAGTAGATCTTTGTTATGTAAAATATTATGGCCCAGGCCTTATGGCCCACCCATTAATAAAGGTGGGGTGAGTTTCTGCTTCTGAGGTGAGTTTCTGCTTCTAAGTTTCTA